CTGCGACATGTTGGACAGTTAAATTCCCGTCCCTTCTCTTTCAGTGTATCCAGACAGCTCTTACAGTATAACTTGTAGCAGCAGATAACTTGTTGAGGATCCCTTGCTACCAGTTTACAGATATGGCACTGATACTCATCAGGAGGATCACCATCAACAAAACTATAGTCATAGCCACCACATGCTGTCCCATCACCACTAGCCATTCTTGAAGTATACTAAACTATTCTTATGACTGAACTGAGTCAACTCAACTGTAACTGTCTTTTATAATGACTTAGATGATGCCAGTTGCAAGCACAAGACAGTAAATTGTGATAATGAAACACATTAGGTGTATGATGCATGCATGCACAGGGAGTGTATGAAATTCTGGGGTGTCTCAGACCCCTCAGGTAACCACATCAAAAAGGCTTGCTTGAATTATGATTTTCCTTATTTGCACATTAAAATTCTGTACCTTTTGATCACAGATGACTACACAGCCAAGAATATTCATTGTGATATCAAGATGTAAAGTTAACACTAATGTAACGTTAATGAATACTATCCTGATGCACTCGTGATTATACCCCAGTCTGATATGTTACTGTTATACAAAGAAGATACTGGATATAATGATACATTAAAAAATCTTTACTTAGTATGATACAGAGTGTAGGTCCATCATTGATGTAACAGTGCTGCTTACACAAGTGCATCATGCATTTTATGAAGATGGTTGCGAGTCACATGGAGGGAATCTGGATTCCTCTTCTTATTAGTTTTTAATGGCCCAGAGAGGTAATAGCAAAGTTGCAGCCTATTCTGACAGTATATTAGACCTAGATGTGAGAATATAGGCCAGGGTATAGGCTGCTATAAACTTGTTAAAAGGACAGCATAAGCGTATTGCCATTTCTACTGAAAGGAGCAAATCATATAGTCAGTAAGCCAGTATTGTTAACCTTTAATTAATCTACCATATGATGCTCTTTTTGCTTGAATCGTTCCAATAAGCACTATTTTGTGGATGGTGTCACTGTACTGAGTCGCCACCATGGACCATCATGGTTTCTAGTTGATTTGATCAATTGAAGGTACAATGTATGTATAGCACAAAGGAAAGGTCAACAATTGAGGAATATACTCTATACGACTTAATCATTTTCTAGATACTAAAGAAACTAATAATGGTATATGAAGCATATAAGGTTTGTACTTATAATTATTTTATTTAATTACAATGAATATTATAATGAGTACAGCTATGAATCATTCCCATATACGAATCAATACAGGATGATTTACAGAATGTAGCTATCCCATAGCTACGGTGATGATACTATAATTGCCTAAAGTTGGTGTATCTTAGAGATATACAGCATCTGATACATAACTGATATCTTAACTGATACAGAAAAAAATTATTAGCTGTGTAGTATGAAACACTGTAACTAAAGATATAACTTTGACAAAATATTATAACTAACCAAAAGTACATCCATTTATACTGATTAGTGAATAACTACCAAGACAATGGACAATAAGAATTAAAGCTAAAACTAGATTATACTTGTTTTTGTTAATGTGAAGTACAGGTCTAAATAGCAAAAACATATTTCTGTGAACACAACAAACAGTATTACATAATATAATTGTCTACTAGTAGTTATCATCAAATATCAACTGATGTCACTAGCCATGGCTTGAATTGGCTTTGTCTTATTGATGTAGCCTTTACATTGACTCTGAAGTACAGGCTATCATCTTTGAGATACTGAAAATTCTTTGTAGCATCATACTCTAATGCAGAAAGTGATATAAAGTTAGGTTTGCCCCATCCATCTGTACTATCTCTTTGCTTACAATCAACATCAGTTGATTCATCAAACAATAGAGTATCCTCCCAATGATTCTTATCCTCCAGTTGATTCAATAGTTCAATAGTCACTTCTCCTTGAAATGGCCACTCCAATCTATCATCATATACTCCAGCCTTAAGGTAAATAAAGCAAGAGACATGTGTACCTTTACAAGACCCATCTCCATTAGGACGGACACGTAACAACATCTTGTATCCTCCTGGTGATGTATAGAAATGTGGACTGCACCAATCCTCACCTTCCTCTTTCTTCTTTGTGTAATCAGGTAGCATAAAGACCTTGTGTGAATGCTGTAGAGCATCAATCTTCTTCATTGCTATATCAAGATGTTCCTTCATTGATTCTTCATTATGTTTCTCCAGATCTTCCCTCTTCAATACAATATT